TTCGGACTAGAGGATTCTGGGAGGACAAGGGGAACACTACGCATTGGGCAGTACTGCGAAGACGGTGCGTTATTTGTGACAGCACTTTACCATTTTGTTGTTTGTTTTCATATGGTATCAACGCAGCAGACGGTCTCGTATTGGTGCTTGCTTAATTTTGCCAAATGTGGCACACACCGGCACATCACGACGAAGATGGTAAGTTTTCCATAATGTTTATTTATTTCAAGAGGTGGAATAAAACTTTAGAGGGAAGTCAGTTACTTCGTTTCCCGTCCCTTTGGCACTACATTGGCATTCGTCGGACGCTTCAAGTGATATCCAGTAGGAAAGTGTCAACAGAGTAGAGTGTTAAATGCCCGAGATAGTGGCTATGGTGTGTTCGACATGTTGGAGCAGGAAGTATGCGTTGCACAGTAGCGGACGCAGTTCTATGGACTTGAAAATGCTGTTTGCGTGAAGGCACACGACGTCACCAGAAGGCATGCGCATGCAATTGGCATAGACGGTGAGTTTGCTAGTGTTGATTAGGCTCGGTAAACGTCCAATTAATGCGCACTATCTCCAGTGTCTGGAGGATTTCGACGCAACGTAACGCTGGCAAGCTAAACAAGGTCCTGCTGTGAACCAGATAGTGCGGCTGTTCCTGAGATCCCGTCAGGCGTGGAACGAGATAAGCAAACTGGAAGTTGGTTAGACAACTTAATTCCCGGAATGCTGCAAAAGTGCGTTTCACGTCTCAGAGAGTCCGTTTGCTCCTCAGTTAACAGCGGTTTGGTCCTTGTCCCTTGCTGTTCCTCTGTAGGTGTTCGGTGTACCTGACTGAAGGAAGCAGCTTCTTCACCAGTTAGGGAGACATTAACAGGGACCAAACAGACTGTGCGTTCATGCTGCTTGCTTTAGTAATTTAGATGCCTAAGTCACGTTACAGGTGATAATCAATTGGGACACGATGGTGGAGGGACGAGGCCCAAGCAAGGATTAGGAGGGTATTTGAATGGGACAGGCTGTGCGTTTGCGGCAATCACGTGGGAAAACGCCTTTGGTTGCCCGGTCCACGAATATAGAGCCGGCGTGAAACAGATAATTTTAGCCGCGTGACGTTGGCAAAACAGGCCGTGTGTCAACCACTCAAGGCTTCTATTGAGGGTTGCATTTCGGCAGGCGATAGGGACTTTTTCAATCGTGGCAACTGGATGCCGCAGCGGTCTGCTGTCCGGTTGCAGTTATGATGGCATAGGGTGTGAGTTTGCTGTCAGCTTAGGGTGGAATCTGTGCTGCGGTATTACAGCGCTGACATCTCTGCAGTTCGTTTAAGTGGATGGTATTTCTTCTGTCGGAATCGGTACTTTTGCTCGGGCCAGGCAGTGCGTCAGAGGGACTGGCACAAACAGAAGCGAGGGCGTCGGAGGTTTGTGTGTGATGGCAATTAAAAGGCAAGAGGTGCTCAGAAAAGCTCTGGAAGTTCGGCCAATGTGGTGCAGCACGTGCGTGGACACAATTTGGGTGGTTTTCGCATGGTTCCGGCGTTCGAAGACAGCCAGTGGCAGGACGCGGTCGCGACTCTTGAAGGCATAGGCTGCTATACAGATTTCAGTTGCGTCATGTAGATTGTGCGTGTTTTTCAAGCTAGCTACCTTAAGGAGTTTTCCTTTAGTATGGTGCAGGGGGATCTCCACACAAGTGTAGCATCCCTTCTGGCGGAGGCGGGTTTATATGCAGATCGTGGTTGGTAAATAAGCGAGTACGCCTTCGAAAATTCTGAATGTCAGAGGGTCTGAATTTGCTCGATGATTTCCACAGTTTGATCCGGCTGGCATAAGCCGACCTCGCCAACGGCATGCGCATGGTGCAGGCAGTGGGTTTCCGATGCTTCATGCATGGGTGATTCCTGAAGATTGCGCATTGCTGCAGTTTTGGCTGTATACTGTAATTGGTGTTTAGCCGCAACAGTGAAGTGGCCAGTTTACGTCCGTCCTACGTAGCGGGTGCGTTAGGTCTGCACTTCAGCGATGGGGGCTGCGTCGCCACCCGGATGCATCAGCCAATGATAACTTCTCCACAGGCGGGGCTGGCACGGCGATTGTTAAGTCTATCGCGCATTGTATTTTTATGACGGTTGCATGCTTTTGTGGGCAGAGAGTACGAAATATGTATAATGGATTTTTCTTGTTAACACCAAGTCTGCAGAACTGTCACTTGCGAACAACTGTGATGATGATGGGAAGGGTGTCAAACGACCTTCTTGCAGGCGGAAACTGTTTGGCTTAGGCAGTGCGCCTGCATATAAATATGCGGTGCTTCTTCCATGTCTAGGTGTTTTGCAATCAATGCGTGCAGATCCGAGGCCTGGAGCAAGATCCACTCGAAGTGTTTGGTCCAAAAGTGTCCCTGTGCAGGCTGTGGGTCAGGCCGTTGGTCATTTGGTGCCAGTCAGTAGACGCCAACTTATTTTTGTGCTCTTTTCTACTTGAGAAGGGACTGAGCGGTAGAGAGCATCGGAAGGCATTCCAATTGCTTAGGAAGTGCGTGGGTTGTTGGTTACTACTGGGACTGGAACTGCAGCTTGTTCTAATGCGTGTTGTGCGTCGTTGCTGTTACCTCAGAGGAATGCTTTCCGCTTACTGGTTCTGAATCGCATGGTGTCAGACAGTAGGTGTTATGACGGAGATTTTAAGAGGATGGCTTGAGTAGGACAGCGGTTATTCGAAGGCCACAACTGAAGCCATACTGCACACGAGGATCCCAGGTCTTATGTATCGGTGTGCTTCGGAACGTTTAATATGTCGTCTTTGAAAATGCTATGCAATGCTATGAACATCAGAGTCAACGCCACTGAATAGTGGGCGTCCTTGGCGCTATCAAGATGAAGAACTTCTCGACCTACGTCGTGGCTGAACATTGCGGTTGGAGCAGGCAGTGCGTGGCTGTTTACCCCATAGGTAATTTTGCCCTAATCAAGTATGCCGGGGATTTTGTAATTGCTCACCTGGATTCGTACAATATTGACAACATCTTTTGTGTCCGGCAGAGTTTTGATTGACCGGATGGCGGAATCGTTGCCGTTGCGTGTGGAACGCGACAGATTGCTGCATCATCTCGTGAATGCGTATGCATGTCCCAGTCGGTGTGTTCCGCGCTTGCCGCCGTCAGGTGTCACTGTCGAATTACTAGCGTCTTAGACGATTGTTCCTGGTCTAATGTAGTTCTTGTTCTTCTGCTCATCGTTCAACGCATCCTTTAACATGCATGCGGAGCAGGAAGTATGTCCAGCTCATAATGTCATTTTACACAGTTGTTGTAGTAGCCTGCGGTGAAGAAACTTTTGGTACTTGGGAGGGTGCTTGGAATGATGCCGTGCTCATCGCATCAATTTTCTTTAGTGCGTGCGTTCACCTTTAGCTTGTTGACGGCACAGCAGGGATCATAACATTTCTGTGGGACACTGCTGGGTGATTGTAGGAATCTCTGGAACATTTTTTCATGTTTACCTACCCTGGAGAGTCTTCGTGAAGTCACGTTGCGCCTGGCATTGAGGCATTATTGGGTTTTACATGTGAGGGTGCGGATAGTATGTGGACAGCTACGGAGAACGTTACCATGCAGTAGGGAGGTGGCATCAAACAGCTCGTGCGTTTGTCCTGCATTACAATTTCGCGGCAGAAACTGTGCACTAGATCAGCCGCCTAGCCCCGTCTCCACCAACTTTTGAGGAGGCCCCACAGTAATGCTTGCATGTCGATTGACTGCTTTGATGCCACGTGAATTTCGTTCCTCCGGCTCAGGCAGTACGCCGCGTTTTCTCCTGGATGGCGTTATTACGACCTACCAGCTTGGCATCCGCTAGGCATAATCGGATACACCCTTGGGTATGTCGAAGTATTTGCTGTGCACCAATTCTACATGATACCGGCGCTGGGCAGAATGTGTGTTTTCACCAAGGCCACAGACTCGTGATTTTCGTTGGTCCTGCGGTTTCAGTAGGATGGTGTCAGCGGTTACTTTCCCGGTGGCGTTTGAGCTGCATTAACACAATACATTTTCTTGCTCAAGGCCGCTTGCTTATGCCTCCACAAAATGGAAGGCTATTCTTGCAGCTAGTGGGTCCCTCCATGTTTTGGTTCGCTCTTGAATGGCTAGGTTTAGAGAATCTTCATTAATACGACGACTTTGCATTTCGTAGTAAGTGAAGATGCAGTGGAACGGCTTCGCGGGCAATGAATAAGCTAGCAAGGTTAGGGGCGTGGATGGTGTTTCAGTGCAATGAAAATGCGTTCTGGCGTTGACGGCCATTATAGGAGGTTTACGGCGACTACCAGGAGTCGCGCAAGCAGCGTTTTCACCTCACATGACGCTCCCGACCATCCCGTGCATGCTAATGGAGAAAAGAGTGCAGGCATATTTGTAGGACGGAAAGTTTGCCATGGCGTCTGGAAGGTGCAACGCTGCGCTTCGGACGTAAGGGTATTCTCTTGATTTAGGCGGTATGTCTTGTGCTTCTGGTTACGGGCGAGAAATGTGGGTGATCTATTTGGCTTTAGGGTGTTGATGTACCGCGTAGCAGAGTTGTTGCGCTAGACTAGAACACTATGGCAATTGGGTGCTTTGACAGGCTGTACGTTGCCGCTACTGATATGAGTAGATGTTCCCGAGGGAGATGCTAAATGCCTTGCAGTGTGGCCGATGGTGTAGGTTGCTGGGGAAGCTATTATTGCCATTTGAATGCCGCAGTCAGTACGTTAACCATAGCGACCTCAATCCGCAAACTCCATCCACCTGTTGGTTGTTTTGGCGCATCGCTGAACGCAGCTCTGGCTGCCTTTTCTTTTAGAGAAGGGATAGTAAAAGGAGTATACCTAGCGGCGAGCAAATCAACCACGGCGTGTATTAAATGACATTGTGTCTTCATTGGGTAGCACAGAGCATCCAGCGTGTATTGCTGGGGATGCCTAATATAGCGTGATTGCGCTTCTGATTGAGATTGCAGATTCTGCGCATTGATGCCGTATTCAGGCACAGGGCTGTTAAGCCCAGTGGATACTGCGGAGGGGAGAAGAGATACATTTGAGCCAGTGCGCGTGCAAGTCGGGGTTGTATCGGAGTAGTCAGTGAGTTTCTCCTCACCCAAAGTTTTACAGTGTGACGCCCACGCTTAGCTACCGAGCCTGCTTAGAGGGCGTCACAGCTGGGCGAAAAAGGCTCGGCAACAGCGCGCACGATTGCTGAGCCTGCAACAGGCAACAAGGAGCAGTGTCATGGTTAGCTGTGGGCCCTTTTCAGGCAAGCAGTGAAGCGGCTGGATAGCAACATGTCTATTGTCATGGGATTCAAGACATGCGGTTGCAGGCCAGACATGAGTATGTAAATCTTCCTGTTTAGCGTAGAGATACCCGTGTTGTTCGAGGCTGAGTGAAGTAACGGAGAAGCGGCTGTTGTACGCCAGATATACTCTTTGCTCGGCGTACGGGCTTGGAAATGGTGTAGCTGGATAACTCGCACTGGAATTAGTAGCGCAGTAAAGGAAAAACCGGGCGGCGAGTGGATTGTTGAACATTGAAGAGAAGCATGATCTTTAGTGGAAGCCGTTGATCAACTGGGGAAGTCATTGCACTGTAACTTGTAGGGCTAATAGGCCCTGTAGGTTTGGGCATGGCTGTGCAGAGGGTTAATTGGAGTTGCTACACACAACGCAGCTTTTGCATCTCAACTAGGTACACATCTGTTCCAGGGAATGCTTGCATTGATCGAATTTGCACTGCCACGTGAAGTTAGGGCAAGTCGCGTGGCTACAGCGCGTTGGGCTCTTCAGTCTATGGAAAAAGTAACCAAGAATGGCGGATATCGTCTTGCATAACTGATGACTGACAGCGCTGTTCTGGGCGATTAGGATGCTGGAAAATTTCAGGGAGTGCGCCTGCCGTTTCCCCCATCGTCTCAATTTGATTATCAGTAGGTCCTTTCTCGAGTGTTACTCGTGGTTAGTAGATGCGGAGCAAGAGGCTTTTGCGTCCTTCAGTCTGTGCGCTTAAGTTTCGCGTCAACGCGATGACCGGCATGCAAAAATGTGCTGTTGAGGATGCGACCCTTTGGCTTGGTATTGACACACGAGATCATGAATCTGTATCAAGGCTACTCTATAGGGAGTGCGTCTGCTGCATTGTTCCGGCTAGTAGCTTAAAGGAGCACTCGCACTTTGTTGCTAGCGGGGGAGGCGTGGGACTGCTGCTGGTACGGCATTTGCATGGTTTCAGTCGGTGAGGTGGCAGAGGGCACGTAGATTTGCAGCTCCGTTTAAGCTCTTGTGGATGGTGGTAAAGGCAGCGAGGCTCACGGTTTTACCGAAAGGAGCGTGACAGTCGAGTTGAGCGTGTACGCACGGAGGAATGTTTGTACGGAGCAGGACGTATGTGCCTGATATACGTACGAACCGTTCCAGAAGCCCGGGTCAACATAGCAGGGGGCGAGTGGGAGTGTCGAGATCTATTCGACATCTGAAGGGTTACCTCTGCCTGGCAAAGCTTGTGCGTGCTTCTGATGTGCAAATCAGAAGGCGTAAACAATGCCTATGTTGAGCAGTTAAATATCCTGGATGAGAGCTTTATGTTAATCAAGCAGTAAGGCGGGTGCATCCAAGCTTTGATTGTGCGTGCACTGAGCCACGCTCTGTGGGCAAATATGGACCAAACAGAGCTGCTTGTTTCTGAAGGACGTTCTATCGTCAGTTTAGGAAGGGAACTGCATCGATTAGGATGTGCGTATACCGCCGAATTGCTTCTGCTGCATTTATAGCATTTGCGTTTGTTGGCGTTTGGTTGCATGTAAAATACGATGGAAGGTGTACATCACCCAATGGTGTGCTGCGGAGCAGGACGTATGTGCCTTGGGCCAGGCAACCTGCGTTAGCAGTCAATTGGTGGGGTCATATGGGCTGGTAGCGTGAAGCGCTGAGGGCGGTTTGAGCAATGGCTACTGCAGAAGGTGGCCGGCACCTCTTTAGCAATCACCCATGCTGGGCACGCAAGAAGGGAGGTGGGCGTCACGTCGTCCTGGGGGTATGTGTGCGCGAGCAGGCAGTGCGTTATTCGAACTAGGAGAATAAGGAAAAAATGTTCGATGAGTGAATGCAATGTTTTGGGGGGCTCACGTGCGGGAATTGGGTCGTTTTGTTGTTCATCTGGGGTTGTTGTTTCTCATCTGGGGGCCCGCATAGTCTATTTTGCCTTAGATGCCCTGGTCCACTGCGTGCGCGCCCAAAATGCGTGCCCTTATCTTTGCGCATGTATGAATGCACAGTCCATACGCGCCAGGCATGTGGAGTTTACAATCATACGCAGAAATAGATAGCTTTAATTGCCAAATGAGTCATGACTTAGTGGGATGGGCGGTACGAATGGTGTTAGCATCACCGCATGTCGCTTTCCTGCTTAGATGGTGCGCTCCATTCTGCATGTTGCTTGCGATCTACCGTGCTTCGCATCTGGTTTGGGTGCATATAGGAAGGCAAGTGCAGCAGGTGCACGATGCGTTCATAATATGGGGCGGTTCTGGCAAAGAGAGTATGTGCTCACATTTTGCCAGCAAAAAGAACGTAGTAGGCTGTTAGTTCTGCCACGGGTAAAACGCAGGGGCGCGACAGAACTGACCACGCAATACAGCATGTGCGTCCGACGCATTCGCTACAGCAAGGATGTGTGCAATGGCGAGCGTGTGGCCACAGCGCTGTGGACTGAAGAACAAACCGATACTGGTTTGTCTTTGCAGAAACTGTAAGAGAGGCTTACGGTTTACGTGAAGCAGCGGCTTGTGATGAAGCGAGACACCAAAAAGTGCAAACAAACGCCAGGCAGTACGTTACAACGTATTGGATCCCTAGTGTGAACTGCGGAATCGCATTATGCCATTTTCTGGGTATAGCAATACAGAAACCCTGCACTGCATTGGGAGCTGCTGGTACCAAGCGCACAGAAGGATGGAAGAGCAGACGTTTTCAATACTACAGGTGGTGCGGTGCTACTGTGTCGTGCTTCAATGAAAATGGATATGCCGGGTGTTCGATGTTGTAATCGTGGTAAGCTTACACCAATTTAAGGTTCGGCACGCCCTGGAGCAGGAAGTGTGTTGGCAATCTTATTTTAGGTAATGCACTCCGAAGGCGAATTACAGCAGCAATGGCGCGCGTAAATGCTGCATCTCAGCACTGCTGCTGAAAAGCTGTAGCTGTAAAGACTATCTCCTACATTGCACTTGGCAGGAGGGTGACTGTGTTTCGAGACACTGGACGTGGCGCAGGCCGTACGTTCGTGCATGGGCAGCTAGAAACGTTGGATTTAGCTAGGCAGGTTTTCTCGTCTAGGTGGATAAGCGGATTACAGGTGCCGCAATCAATGGGCGGGCACGCATTCTCAGCGAGCAGCTGGAGTAATGTTCGAGTCGTAGTGGAAGGCTTGGGGACAGGTTCATTCCTCCTAAGATCTGGAAGAACCGGTGCAATTCGGCATCAGAGTTGCAATTGATTTAAAAATGAGTGACGGCTGGGGGCAGAGCTGGTGGAAGAATGGCTAACTGCCTTGATGTTAAACAGTTAGTACGTTTGGTGTGGTGATACAAATCTGCACCGTTTTGGCTTTAGAGGCATGCAACGCAGTCGGAGTTGTCGGAAGGCTGTAGTTGGAATAGCTGCTGGAAACGTGCGCCGTGGCGGTTTTCTACAGATAGTATGTTTGGCTGCATTTTTGTTGGCTTTTGATGCTCTAGCAGGAGTGCTTGCCTTTTGGGTTTTCAGCATCAGGCAGTTGCCGGTTTTTATGTGGAGAGCCACTGATGTGACGCAGCTCGTATGCTTCCCAAGAATGGCATGGCGTACACTGAAAATTGCCAGCGGCAGTCAAGCTTTGTCAGCGTGAAAGGCAGAATGCTTGGAAAGTCGTGCAGTATGTTCAGGACTTGCAGCTCTTTCCTCTTCAGTGTCATGATTTGGCGTCGCGCATATTTGGGGCCAAGCCGGCGACTTGGAGTACAGCGCATCACGATTGCAAATCATTTGCGGCTCATTGCGACATCTTGGCATCCAGGTCTTGGATTGCTCAGCTAGTGCGCTCGTTGGTACCATGCCCGAGAAATGTGATCCTGTGGAACAAACAAAATGCCAGTAGGTCCCTTGACAACTTTTTCGTTAGGCGAGTGCGCCTATTGCTGACTGTTGGACTTTGTAACAGAGAGTGGGCGACAAGGATGCTGTGGAAGAACAGTTCGACTAATAGGATAGATTGTATTGGCAGTCACAGTTTGAAGTAGTCCTATGGCGTAGAGTTGCTTATTCGCAAACTCTCACCACCGTGGTTTTTCCTTCGGAGCCGGCATATGGAGCCTTCGGGACGCCTGCACGCTTCTGATCAGTCTATACCATTGGGCATGCCTTTATTACTGGACTTGCTGATAGAGTGGGGCACATTCGATATGGCTGCTTAGGGAGTGCGTTGGCGGACAACAACTTCATGCATGAGCATCCGTCTCGATTACGCTCTGCACTGCTCACCAGGATTGGATTGGGCTATAAGAACTGCCAGTGAAGCGGTGGGATGGCAGACAGTGTAGGCCAGATCTAGAAGTATGAATGCTAGCTTCTGTTGCTCTTGCGTTGCTCAGGAAGTGCGCTGAGTCTAAAGAGAAATATCCAGCCGATTTTAGTCGTTGATCTAGACCAACTACGACCTTCGAGGCTTGCTGGTTAGCTTGGCGCTGCAAGGGTGGTTATGAACAAGGTAAAACGATGGGGCAGAATGTATGTGCAATCGTCGTGTGCCTTCATCGGCCAGAATGTGTTTCTTTCGGAGGATGCAACTTGAAGACTAAGCTGGGTTTGGCTGGAACTGTCAATCAAGCCTGCTGAACACTGCTGATGCTACCTCACGAAAAGGTTCATTTAGGTACTGAGGTATTAATATCCTCGCCAGGGTAAAATTCTAAGGGGTATCGAGGGGCAAATGAGTTGTATTGTGTGCAGCTTGTGAGTAAAAGTGGAGATATTGTCTCTGTCTCACTGCTTCTCTGGGTGGACGCTCTTAAACCTACTGCTGGTGCGATGCTGTTAGATGCAGATTTCGTAGTAGGGAGAACTGTTAAGTTGTAGCATTTATTCCCTCGCTTAGCTGTATCATTCGTAAAAGATACCCAGCCATTTTTGCCCTGGACGACGGACGTTACTTTGCTAACTATAAGCGGAGTTCTGAATTTCGTATCTCCTTCAATAATTTTGATAGGTTAGCAAGGCGCTCCTGGACGCGAGCGTGGATAGATGTATAGGTTTCCGTCAGCAGCCTGTGGCTGGGCATTCCGTCCTCTATGACCACCGCGCCTCCGCAGAGCACAAGGTGCTGGTGCAGTCATCTAGGTTTGCACCTTACATTGTAGAGGACGTGAGGCAGCTGCTTGCGTATTGTTCACAATTCCCAGACAGTAGGTCTATTTTTCCTTCAAATAACGTGAATGTTTCCAGTGGAATAGACCCCTGAGGCCTGGTAGTACCTAAGGCTCGCTTGAATGGCCACTACTAAATTTACCACAGATACCACCTGAGCGGATGGCTACAGCCAAGGTGCCCAGGGAGGTGAATGCCCTTTGATTTGTGGATGGCGCGTTGCAATGCATCTACTTCCAGGTATGAAGATTCACTTGAAGAAGTGTGCTTTGCGTGAGAGTGCGGCGGTTGTTTGTGAATGGCGTGCGCGATGCTCAGTCAGTGCGTTTCCGTTCATCTCATTTATCAGTGTGCTAGCCTAATCAACACCTACGTCGCCACATTCCGGACAATCCTGCCCCACCGCATATGCCTATAGCATTTATAGCTTCAGCTGTTCTCTGCACGCTTGCAGGATTTCCATCGAAGCAAGTATCTCGAGGTTCGCGTCCACGGTACGTCACTGCAACCCGCGCCATAGCCAGTA